AAAAATTAATGGTTATTTCTATTAGGCTGTTTATTAAAAAATTGTGACAGGGGTAGATAATTCACATTGGCTTGTGTCTTAATGGTAAACGTTTCAGTCAGACAACAAGTTGTCCTATATGTTTATCTTTAAAACTACATGGGTCCCATAAGGGGAAACCTTTTCCATTTCCAGCTCATACTCTACTACATGTACAAACGAAAAACATTTCAATTCATGTTTACATTAGTTGCACACGGGTATTTTTAACTTAGTTCATGTGTGCAGGATTGCTCTTCATTCACGAACTTGCTCCTCTGGAATATTTTGTCCAAATAGAATTATCAATCATGTTTTACAAATGTATTGATTTTGTCTTTATTACTGTGAGCGATTATTACATGAATATTTAGGTATACAAGTGATATAATATTTGGGTATTCTGTATAATTGTTACATATTTTTGATTTAAAACAATAATTACTTTGCTACATAAAAGTCAATATTAAAATGTGTCTGTTAAGCAAATACTAATGACAAATAATATGGTAAATCTTCAAAATTGCCACAAAAGAAATGTTTCCTTTTTAAAGGAAATCACTTGGTATACCATAAGACATATGTGATTTAAAACGGTATCATTCAAAATGCTAATTTTAACAATCCAACTATTGTTTTCAGGTTGATTATGATTACCTTGAGCATGATAAACAAGAACAATATAACAAAGTACTAAATGATTAAATAAATAAACGGTGCCCTAAAACAAATAAAAATTCTGGAAACAAAGTGATCCCTCGGAAGCATTAATCACAACAAAATAACATAAGAATTGCAGACTCGGTTTGATTGAGTCTGTACATGAAGGATAATGAATAAGTGCAACATCCCTCACGCCCCCTAGCACCGGCTTGAGCGGTACTCAATTCTCAACACTTTATAGTGTTGGCATCAATGATCCCGAAGGACCAGAAAATATAACAAAAAATATGATAAACAAGAGCGACAATGAAAGGCAGCGTTCAATGAACGCAGCCCCCACCCGACCCTCTAAATATCGACTCTCAGTCAATCAAGTGGTTTTTTATTTGTTGTTTTAAAGTTTATAAATTTAAAATAACAACTCTTTTACAGATAGAAAAGACAAATTATGACCAATTCGTCGAGCAAAAAATAACATTAAAGTTATAAAAAATACAGACTGAAGTAACCTATATTTTGTAGTATATGTCACATATTGTTTACTGTGTGATTAACGCAGTAAGGGCTATTTTGCATATTTTGAGCTTTTTTTTGGTAATTTGTATGGATTGAAAATGCCGATTCCAATGTGGAAATTACTTTCAAAAATGTTTGAATACCTCTTTTTTCCTTAAATAATGTCATCTAACTTTGTACAATTTAAATGAAATATCTTTTGTCAAATCGATAAATGTTATCTTCAAAAAGGAAGTTCGGAAATTGTATGCCTTAAATTAAAAAAAAAACTTGTCTACCTTTGTACAATTTATTAAATGGATTATATTTTGTCAAATCGATAAATGTTATCTTTAAAAGGAAGTTCGGAAATGTTATGCTAATTATCTGCGGGGAGATTTTCGAAATGGCTGTGATAAATGGTGTGATTAAGGGAAGATAAATTTGTCAATTATTTAAAAATAATTCAATCTCTTATTGATCACCAAGTTTGCGTGTTTATGTAATCGTCTTTTTTATCAGATGGTTTTAACAATTTAATAAACTTTTAGATAAGACACGAAGCCAAAAAGCACGTATTAAAAACAAATACTTCAAGTACATCAGTGCAATCATTTTACAAAGAGAAACAAGAGAGCTCAAAGATCAGCTTTAACATGATTAGCGGCATTGGCAGATTTGTATCTAAAATCTTTTGATAACATACGCTTACAAGAACTGCCAAAGGCAAAATTTCTTTACCCTTCATAACAATTTGAGATCATGAGAAAATATTTAAGTTGTTTAGAGGTAACAAAACACGCATGCATTTCTTTATCAAATCACAGGCGTTTACACGTACACGTGTAATAACAAAAATGAGTTATTTTAGTGCATTATGCATAAATAATTATAAGTAACTCCAATAGAAACCATCTCTCTCTATAATTATATATTTAAGGTTGTTGTTGTTTTGTTTTCAATAGTCGATGCCAAAATTAAGTTTGTTGATGATATTTAAACGACTTAATGTTTATTAAATTGGTTGGTTTTTAATGCATCTATGTGGTTGTTTTCTTCCGTTTTGTTTATTTTTATTCGTTTCATTTCATTTTGTTAATATTTTCATTATTTTTGAGTGGGCGGGTATGCGTTTTTATGATGAATATATGTCATGGGATTTCCTTGGCAATTTTAGAGCTTACTTGTGCTCATTATGCGTTTGAAAAATAACAACTTTTGAAGTATACATTACTTTTAAACTTATTGTATTAGTTTCTCCTAAGAAAAAAATACTCACATATTATAATCATGGCTATAAAGAAATTCCTTGATTATGATTTGAAACAATTATAAAGAATGTTGGATGCAAAGATGTTATCCCATAAATGTTGCTTTGTTTATATCATTTTTTCATTACATGTATTGTTATGAACATGCATTGTATTTCACAAGTTTTGAGTTATTGTCAGAGAGACAAAAGTGTAATGTTGTTGTTTTTTGTATTATTTTTTAAGTATTATTATTTTCACTTCGCATTTTCGAAAAAGACATATTTTAAAACAAGCAAAAAAAATTATTTTGATATCGAAGTTTAAAAAACATGAGCAAATTTACATTGTTACTATAATGACAAATGCTATTTTGTGACGTCACCAAAAATCACGTGATGGGCAGAAAATGTAATTATAAAATAAGACTTTGCGTCTTTACCTTATTTAATTTACTATGTTTTACAGACAACCGATTCAAATGGATGCTTACAAAACATATACTTAAATCTTTGTATTTTAATTTTGCACACTTGCAGATGACTTAACTAAATCTCCAAACATTATAGCCTGCGTAAAAAGAATAAACTCAGATGGTTTTAGTATTAAATGCATGAAACAATCAAATCAAAGCACGTTCATTTATTACTTCACTGGAGTTAATATTTGTCATGTTTTTCAACGATGTTTTAATGTTAATATAATTTGACTAGTTGAAATCTTTATTTGCTCTGACAAATACGATTATTCTTTTTTTTATCGAGTGCCCTTTGGCTATTAAAAACGTTTATTCGTGTATATAAAATCCCCTCGAAGGCTGTTTTTACTCTAGACGACCGTTAATCAGGACTTAAACAAATACATCAGACTTCCTAGTTGAGATAACATGAGAGGTGTCTCAGATACCTTAATCCATTTACGGACTTTGGTCAAGATATATGAGATTATCATCAAACGATTTGCAATTGATTGTTTGATATAAAAAAATCATCAAGTGCTGTCAAGCAAAAGACTGTAAGATTACGTTTACGTTTACCTTACCTAATTTATCCTGTTTTACGTCTAACATGATTTGGCCTGACCATTTACCTTCCTAATTGTATCCTGATTTATGTCTTTCATAATTTGACTTAACCATTTTCCTTTCTTATTCCATTCAGTTTTAAGCTTAATATGATTCGACCTGATGATTGACCCACCAAATTTCATCCTTACCATTGCCATATCTCATCCTTTCTTGTTTTATGTCTTACATGATTTGACTTGTTAATTTACCTACCTAATTGTATCCTTATTGATGTCTTACATGATTTGACCTGACCATCACCATACTTTTTATCCTGCTTCATGTTTTACATGATTTGACCTTACCATTGACTTACCTTATGTTGCCCTGTTTTATGTCTTACACGATTCGATCTGACCATTGACCTGCCTTATGTTGTCCTCTTTTATGTCTTTCATGATTTGACCTTACCATTGACCTACGTTTTGTTATCCTGTTTTATGTATTACATGATTTGACCTGACACTTGACCTACCTTATGTTATCCTGTTTTATGTTTTACATGATTTGACCTGACCATTGACCTACCTTATGTTATCCTGTTTCATGTTTTACATAATTTGACCTTACCATTGACCTACCTTATGTTATCCTGTTTTATGTTTTACATGATTTGACCTTACCATTGACCTACCTTATGTTATCCTGTTTTATATATCACATGATTTGACCTGACCATTGACCTACCTTATGTTATCCTGTTTTATGTATTACAATATTTGACATGACCATTGGCCTACTTTATGTTATCCTGTTTTATGTCTTACATGATTTTACCTGACCATTACCATACCTAATTTATCCTGTTTAATGTCTAACGTGATTTAATCTAACCATTTTCATACTTTATTTTATCCTGTTCAATGTCTAACATGAGTTGACTTGACCATTGCCATATATATTTTGTATGGATTCTTAACACACAAATTACTTAATTCAAAGAAACGATAAAAAACATAATATCCAACGACAAACACTAATTATCAAAGATATATAACTTGTGCAAAATGTATTGGCTCATTTTTTTTTATTTGAAAAGTATACTTCCAAAATGCTTGTAAATAAGTGTGCTAGTAAATTGCCTGAAAAGCGAATGGCGCATGCAAAAATTAACTGCTTTACAGATTAAACACGGATACTATTTGTTTTGGAACGTTTTCTGCTGTTTAAATATAATATTCGTGTGTATAAATAACAGAGACTATCTATATTATAACGTTTTCGAAAATCGGCCATAAGAATAATAAAACCACTTCAAGTTTACTGGTGATAAAATTGATGAAAATATTTCTTTACATATAGCTTTATACTTATTTAATGAATTGCTTTTTACTTACAAAAAGAAAATTAAGCAGTAAGAATATTTCCATGATAGACATGGGTGCAATTATTTTAATGACAAATTATGTTGAGCTGTTGAAATTAAAAACCAACAGTTGACACGACTGCTTTAAAATAAGTGTACAGGTACCCGCTTATGTGAGTATTAAAAATATATATCGAACATCAACAGACCGATCAGAACAGCTCCAAGTAGCACTTATCAATGTTTAAGTACAAAATATTTTAGATAAAACGACATATTTTTGATGATATTGTAATTATATATTTGGATATTTAATCATATAGTTTAATCTGTTTTAAGTATTTATTTTTTACTTTAGATATGGCATTTAGATGTGATTGAGATAACAAAAATGATAGCGACAGTAGTTCTATTGTTTCTGACCTGTTTGTTTCCAGTAGAAGGTAAATATTTTTCCCTTTATTAATGAATTCTTTCCTCTATATAATTAATGATTTTTATGTGCAATAACATAAATTTTAAACATATTTTTTGTTGAATTAATTGTTAACGCTGGTTTATAAAAGAAAGTGCTAATTTACAATAAATTGAATACGCGTTAATTGTAACAATTGGAATTAATATTTGTCTATTTCTGATTCAAACATACATTACTACACACTAGTCAAAATGAACTATAAAATGACAGAAAATGACTTATATTTATACCTCTTTTATTGCATCTTACCGTATAATTTTTCACGTAAAGAAGTTATTGCCAGTAATTTTATTTGCTTTTTTAAACTGTCAAGATTATTCATTATCCGTGATATGCAGATTCAATCAAACAAAGTCTGCAATTTTCATGTGATTTTGTTGAGATTAATGTTTCCGATTATTTTCATGTACATAGACTTATAGCTATTCCTCGATAGTTTCATTTTCCCACAGAAAGCACAAACGTTACTGCTTCATGTACATAAGTTAATCGACAAAGTTTTTTTTTTTTTTCGCGAAGCAATCAATAATTTATCAGCAATAATAATTTAAAGAGTTACCAAATGATAGGTAAGTCACAACTATAAAGATAGTTATTTGTAACTATTTTTTGATTAAAGTTTTCTAATATTTCAGGAAATTCCGTGCTAAATGTTACGAGTATTAGACTACAAGGAGGCACAGGGACATATGATGGACGTGTGGAAGTAAATGTGAATGGTGTTTGGGGAACAATTTGTCACAATTCGTTTGATATGAGTGATGCTAAAGTGTTGTGTAGAATGATGGGACTATCGTATGTATTGATTTATATACAATAATATGTTTTTGTAATTGTTTGGTCTAAACACATTTATTTTAAATTACTAGATGGATAATTGTGCACTGTGCCTGATGATATTAATTCAAATCTGTTAGTTTAAGGGTCATTTGAAGAAACAATTGTGACCCAAGCATGAATCAAGCCCATGATCTCCAAGTTAGGAGGCATAAATATTAGCCAAGGTTGTACTTAAAACTTTAAGAATTTCACTTTTAAAGACAGTTATAAATAATTGTCATATTATTTTATGCAAATAGAAGACAACAGAATGTTTCGTTATAATGATTTTTAGTTTAAACACATGCTACAATAAGAAGCCATTTCAGTGCATAAAGAACAATATCTAATATAAATACTTAGTAAACATTTACATCAATGTTAAGATAATGTTTAATATGGATTGATTTTATTGTGACCATACAACGTGAATATTTGAATACGGAACAAGCGCATTTTTCAGATAAGTTTTTATCGGTGAAGTAAGAGGGCACTTAATACGACAAAATCTCGACGTTGCCCATGTATTATAAATTCGTGTTCCGTCTGGAACAACACTACATTAAAAGTAAGTTACAGGAACAGGATACAAAAACCGCACTATGTGGCATAGGCGTGATCCGTACGCTGGTCAAACTGCGACAAAATTCGCATTAAATGTTCTGAGATATCTTGAACAACCTGTACAATAATAGGTTCTCTGCGTTTTATCTCGTTTAAATGCGTTTGTTCTTTTTATTAAAGGTCACGTGGTATGGTCACGTTGTGATAATGTAGTATGCAGACATTTAAACATCATTTTTAGTTTACAATTATAATAATAAATTAAATATTATGTTCAAGTAGCAAGTAATCGCCAACAAAGTTGCTCTTTTTTTATTTATTGTTGTTGTTGTTTTGTTTTTTGTTGTTGTTTTTTTTTATTTGTATCTTAGGATTGTAATATCAAACTACATCTGTGTGAAGAAAACTTTAAATTGAATTCTAAAATACCCTTTTTAACAGAGCGACAACGTTTTTTACCTATGCACATTTCGGACAAGGTATCGGTCCAATATTTGCAGAAAGACTCGACTGTTCTGGGTCTGAACCGCACGTAAACAAATGTTCCTTTGTTCCAAATGTTTATTGCACACATAGTTTTGATGTTGGAATTATGTGCACAGGTAAGATATTTATTTACAAAAAAAAACCCAGTTCTTTTCAAATTTGTTTTTCGTTTCGGTTGTATAAATCAATTTTAACCATTGCAAGTAGATTATTTTGATCGCAAATGTTTATCTGAATAACAGGTTAGATAAAGAATTTGAAGTTGCAAGATCGTGCATACTTGATTTTTAAAAAGCAATATTAAGAACACACATGTATAAATATCTTACATTTAGATCTAGAACCTGAAGTCTAACAAAGTTTAAATTCTAGTCTAACAAGAACATGAAAAAACAATATTCTTGTTGCTAACATTACTAAACATCATACAAAAGGCTGTGGAGAGATTGATGTTACCAATGGGAAGGTAGAATCCATATCTTCAAACGGAACAGTGTCCCTATCTTGCAATGATGGTTATTTTTCAAACAAAAACACGTCTACATGCTTAAGCAGCGGGAAATGGTCTGTGCCTAAGATAGCTTGCTCACCACCAGAAAAACGTCTTATAGGTAAATCTATAATCTTCTTATATCACTTTTTTAACATTCTTTTGTATTATGATATTTTTTGGAGGGGGTGGGTGAGGGGGGTAGTTTTTAGTCATATTTTTTCTTGATATAGAACTCTAAGTATAAGTAATAGGACTGAAATGTAGCTTCGTTATAAAATACCAACATCCCTTACAAATTTAGACCTAATAGTTGATATTACGTATAGAACAGGACATCACTGGTTTTCTGAATACGTAACCATACTGTCCAAAATGTCTCCTACTTACTTAGCATCTAAACCTCAATTTAATTTCCATGACGACGATTTATTATACGCCTTATACATGCATCTACTGATCAACATCTCTTGATTTGCGATAATTTCGTTTTTTTTTTGTGAACAAAAGCAGATATGATATGTAGTTCACAATAAAAAAAATCATATAATAAGTCATCTTATATGATTGGACTTTTTCTGTAGCTTTTAATATTAACAAACTCTCTTTTATGTTAACAGGTTACCCTTTAAACATATCTGATATACGGTTAGCAAATGGTTTAGGTTTCCATGATGGGCGTGTAGAGGTTCTTGTTAATGGTGTATGGGGAACAATATGTGGCAACTCATTTTCATTTTCTGAAGCAGAAGTAATATGCAATCTACTCGGTTTTGAGTAAGTTTAATTACAACAAGTGTCTTTAATTTAAATTAAATTATACAAAACAGCTTACAGTAATTTCACACATCACTTCCAATCAGTTATTTTTCATCTAAACAAAGTGTTTATTTTAAATCTTGTTTGTTGAAATAATAGCACATAATCAAGCGATTTAATGAAATGAACTGGAAAGTGCAAGTTATGGTCCACGACTCTGGTAGAATTAAAACATGAAGAGACATGTTCATGGGCAGAATGTCGAACCCGCTCGTCTTATATACGCATATATACCCAACTGTATGCCAAAAGTGGCGACTAAATCGAGCTCACCGAAACCGGCATTAGCAAAAATGGTGAAATTTTGAATTAAAAGCATCCGTCCGAAGATGTTATCAGGAGAATGACTCCATTGATGTTATTTAATCAAAGAAAATATTTAGCAATAAATACTAGAACCAATTTCAAAGATATGGGGGCTGGGCAGCACCGCCTGACTTAAGATTGAAATATTCTCAGTTGGAGAACTAGCTCGTAATTGTTTAGTTAACACTATTTTTTGTAGCTATTATACCTTTTTCTATTTCAAATCCATATATACATTTACACAACAAACTCTGATTATTATCTACAACCAAAACAAATCACTCTGTTCATTATTTACACCCAAAACAAACACACATCATTTATCAACCACTTATACGAATTATCTTTCAAGTATACGTCTTTTATACGAAACAATACTAGAAACCTGGCGAGCCTAAGCTCTAAACAACTTATGATCAAACAAAACAATGAAATCACCACAAAATGAAGAACACAAAAATGACTTTTTTTTCACAACTCTAAGATATACTATGAACCGCATTTAACCAACAATATTAACTTCACAAAATCTAATCAGCATCAGAAAAGCAAACTGAAGCATCTAATATTTACATTCATCTTCAAAAACAAAGCATCAACTAATATAATCTTGACCAGACAAATTCAACCAATTTCAACCAAATAATTATTACCAAACAGATACAACTCAAAAACCAAAACAACTTATTACAACCAATAAACCCTGATCAATTAAGATCACCACAAAAAACATTCAACAAACTTCAACAAATTAACAAAAATCCCTTCAAAACAACAAATTCTCTTCTCCACAAAAAAATAAACGCTAACCACTATCAGTGTTTCTCTCCTAAACTGATGTAAAATCTCTCTGAAAACTCGCATTTTTTCTGTTGTACCAATTTGACATTGAACATGTATACAGAGTTTAATATACGCACAGTGACTGATTTATACATGATATTTACACTCCATTTAAAACTATGTATCACTGTAAGGAAATTGTAACTCGTTGTTTCATCTACAACAATATATCACTGTAGGGAAATATTAACTCCTTGTAAGATACATATCTACATATAAACTGTATGATTATTCTTACAGCCCCCTACACAAGAAAATATTCCTGTGTTTTCAAACAATTTGAATAATCTACAATTTATCATTTCAGGTATCGAGTCTAGTAATCTTGCCACATATTGTCCTTTCCTTTCACAGCTTCTATTCTAAACTTAGAGTTCTGTAGAAATAATGCCCATCTCATTATGCGGCCACTTTCAACTTTACATTTCTGAATATACGTTAAAGAAGCATGGTCTGTATGCAGCTCAATTTCTTTCCCGTACAAATATTTCTTGAATTTCTTTATTCCAAATACCTTGCAAGACATTCCCTTTCGATAACCGAGTAGTTTTGTCTCTATTCAGCAATTTCTTACTCGCGTAAGCTATTGAAACTGTTAAAAAAGTGCAATTCAATCTCCTGTGTTTGAAGCATCACATTGCAAAACAAATGACTTTCAAAAGTCTGGAAGTCGTAGTATTGATGATCGTGTCAATACTTGCTTCAATGTCGTAAAGGCCTTTTCATGTTCTGGTTTCCATATGATTTTATTTGGCTGTCCTTTCTTCGTAAGATATGTCAATGGTGCAGCAATTTCTGCAAATGAAGCAAACAATTTTCTGTAGTATCCAGCTAAACCAAGAAATGATCTCAGTTGCTTCTTTGACTCTGGTCGCATAGCGTCTCTAATTTTACTCAATTTGTCATCTTCCATTTGCATGTGTCCTTTGTCAACAATATGACCGGTAAATGGTATACTTTCAAACCCAATCATACATTTAGAGGGTTTAACTGTGATCTTCGCTTCTCGTATTCTTTCAAACAACTGTCTCAACATCTAAATATGTCTTTCCCATGTTACAGTATGTCCAAGCACATCGTCTACATAGTTACCAGTATCATTCACTCCGTAAAGCAACTTTCGCATCATTCTAATAAATGTTGCACCAGAATTGACCATTCCGAATGGCATCTTTCTGAATTGGTAACTACCTTCTGTAGAAAATGCTGTTAGATTTCTTGATTTTGCTTCAATAGATATTTGCCAAAAACCTTTGGTCAAATCAATTTTTGTGAAGCACTTATCTACTTTTAGTTTCGCCATCACATCTTCAACATTACCCATTGGTTCTGTATCAAACTTTGTTACAGGGTTGAGTCGTCTGAAGTCAATACGAAAGCGGTTTGTATTATCCTTTTTTCTTCACCAAAACAATTGGAGAATTATAATCAGAATTTGCTGGTTCGATGATACCACATACAAGCATTTTCTTAATTTCATCTTCTACTGCTGTCCTTTTTGCATCTGGTATCGTATATTGTCTAACACGAATTGGTGTTTTGTCAGTCAACTCAATCTTGTGAGATTCAATATCTGTAGTTCCAGGAACGTCAGTAAATATATCCTCAAATTCTTGAAGCAACGCATTAACTTCTGTTTTTTGTTCAAGTGATAATTGATCATTAACATTAACATCTCTGTACGTCTCTTCACCCTGTGTATCTACTAGTTCTAAACGATTTTCATCATCAACAACCCCAGTATCATTATTATTTTCGGCTTCTATTACAGCTACACTCGCACAAATTATATCTTCTCGTTCTTTGTATTTTTTCAGAAGATTTATGTGGTACATTCCAATTCTATCACCTACTTTCACTTTGTAGACAAACTTGTTATCTGCTTGTTAACAACAAATTGACCTTTCCATTGTAACAATAGTTTATTGTGTGTTGAAGGCATGAGCAAAAAAACTTTGTCTCCTTTCTTAAGACTTCTTGGTCGTGAATAATTTGTAACCATGACAACTGTTAGAATTTCACTTGGCGGGGATTCATTTTATTTACGCTGTCTCGTTTATAAGAACATGGTGGGGCTAAGAGCGAGGTTTGGTGCACCATTAACCGGTTTAAACTCCCCAGCAGTCATTATTATGCTGCTGACCGTTCCAAGGCGGCGCCCAACTGTGTTCCTCAGATGTATGTCTATGTTGTTTCAAACTGCTTTGGTGACACTTTTGCTTGTGTCCCTTGTTGTTTTTCGTCTACGGTAAGTATCTTCCCCATTGCCTCTAGTTTTTTTTTCTTTGATTAACCCCCCCCCCTCTTCCCCCCGTCTCCTGTCCCCTTCCCCTTTGTGGGCCTATTATTATGTCTCCCCCACCTCGGGGGGAGACATATTGTTTTTGCCCTGTCCGTCCGTCAGTCCGTCCGTCCGTCAGTCCGTCCGTCCGTCCATTCTTCGTTTCCGGACGATAACTAGAGTTCCTTTTGACCTACAGCCCTCAAACTTCATAGGATGATTGGTCTTATAGAGCTGATGATCCCTATTGTTTTTGGGGTCAGTAGGTCAAAGGTCAAGGTCACACTGACCGTTGGTCAATTTCTCGTTTCCGGATGATAACTAGAGTTCCTTTAGACCTACAGACCTCAAACTTCATAGGATGATTGGTCTTATTGAGCAGATGATCCCTATTGTTTTTGGGGTCAGTAGTTCAAAGGTTAAGGTCACAGTGACCATTGGTCATTTTCTCATTTCCGGATGATAACTAGAGTTCTTATCAGTGAGGACATTTAACTATTATTGATATATCAGTGATATATCAGTTGTCTGGTTTTATATACTCTGTTCTTTTTTGATCTTTCCACCCTTATGCGGTCATTTCTTCCCCGCTGCGCGTTCAATGCTACATGGTCACAGCAAGGTGTATTACACGCATTGTTTTGTTTGCTGATGATAACTACAAATTCCTACTAGCGAGTGAGTTTTCATGCAATATGTAAGTATATAGTATATCACTTTCTATTCTTGTTAACTATTACTAATAGTATACATACATGCATGGCACCATTCAGACTATGTACATATTTATTGGTATTGCGTTACAACTTAAAAACTGTCAAGTATTGGACTATTAGTTATTGTGT